GAAGTTAAATAACTTTTTGTCCCAAAAGCGGAGAACCGTCTGAAAGTTTGGGGGCACACGATATACCACTTTGGGGGTATTTTAAGAAAATTTTATTTCACCTTTTTAGCATCTTTTGGGACGTTATCACCTTTAGTAACTTTTTGGTAACTTTTCACCTATTTAGCAAATTTTATACTTAATTAATGAATAAATTACAAAATACCCAATGAGTTAAAAATGAAAACACGTGTAATATGATATTAAAATAAGTTTTAGTTGACATCTCATTCAAAATGCCTAAAAATGCGGTCAAATAAAGTCAAAACAAACCTCAATTCAGCCACATTTTTTAGCAGACAAAGTGAATTTAATAAAGAATTGTGTGAAATGTCATAGTTTTAAACATTTCATTTCATTGTTATTTAAATCCGATTGCAAAACAATTTTTCAATAAGTGGACTAATAATAAACTTCCAGGCCTTCTACTCTTTGGAAAATATACAAAATAAATAACTTTTTCTTAACTTTTTATAACCTTTTTATCACCTTTTCAACCATTTTTAAGTAACTTTTTAAGTACCTAAAACACTTTTTTTGTCACCTAAGAATCAATGCTTTAATTATAACAATAATCACTTGAGTCTGTTATCACAAGTACATGTATACCGTTATTTAATAAATTATTTGTTATATTATATAACAAAATTAACAAATGCGTCAGTAAGAAATAGATGTTCAAATATTCAAATGCATATGATGATAATTATATAATATAAAAATATGCTATATTATAATAGTATTTGGATATTTATAATGCTAAATTTTTTTAAATTAAAACATTTAACTCATGCCGCTGATGGTTCATTATGCAAAATAAATCAACCGTATTATGGCCTTGATAATAATATAAATAATCAGTTGGCATATAAATGTCTACAGAAAATCTACGCAAATGTAACTAGCTGCAATGAAAAGAATGGTCAATATAATCTATGTAATGGAGACAAACAAATGTCATGTAATTGGTTATGGTCCGATATTGAATGTAGCAAAATATATGCGCAGGTAAGTTAGAGAGAGAGAGAGAGAGAGAGAGAGAGAGAGATATGCCAACTGATTATTTATATTATTATCAAGGCCATAATACGGTTGATTTATTTTGCATAATGAACCATCAGCGGCATGAGTTAAATGTTTTAATTTAAAAAACTATTAATTGTTCTTAATCACTTATATAAAGTATATTGATACTATATATAAAGCTATATGTATATTACTACTAATTAATTATAATATTTTATATTGCAGTATAAATGCGATTGCGAAGAGATCGATGCCGTGGAGGATGTGTTGAACAAAATGGGAGTAATGGTAACTGATATGCAAACCAATAGCCAGATCGTCTATAGTCAGGAAAATTGCAGTGTGGTTACCATTGCTGTACCAGTGGTTAAATTTAATTCAATGTCACTAGTTAAAGATAATTCATACGCTTTGCTACCAAACCCTTTATATACTTTATTATATGCAATTTTATGTTTCATCTTTGTAATATATTATAGTAGATTATAAATTGACCTATATAGTTTATGTATTATCTCATAAAATAATATATAATGTTTCAGAATAGTGTGTGGTATATCATAAATGTAATCTTAAGTAAAACAAGTATGCAATTTTTATTTTTAGCCTAATAATTATAAACACTGCTCATTAAAAACAAAAATATTTTTAATTACTGTATAAACAATAAGTGCAATGCAAGATAATCGCATTCATGTTCATTCATTTATTCATAAATAAAAACATCAACATCAATTACAAAACTATCGCATACTTTCATAATATTTACATTAATTAAAATGGTAAAATATAATATAACGGGTGTTTAGCCATCGAGGGATGAAGTAATCATGCTGCTATTTGATAACCCCTCGTACGATTTTAATAAACTTAGTTTTATTTTAAAGATAAAAAGCGGGAAAATTATTCCAAATAATCTCAAAATTTCTATTAAGTAGGGTGACCACATGTTATCACTTTTTCTTTTAATTACAACTAAAAACCGTTGAAAAACTTAAAATTCAATTAAAAATATTATTGATAATATTTCTATTAAAATAATTTAGATTTCCCCAAACGCATTCAGCACATGATCTTAAGAGGTAGCGGCAATTTTGAATAGACAATTTTATTAATATTCTATTTTTTGTCATAAATATAATATACATTTCATTATAAATTTACCATATTTACATATGGTCACCCTACTTAATAGAAATTTTGAGATTATTTGAAATAATTTTCCCGCTTTTTATCTTTAAAATAAAACTAAGTTTATTAAAATCGTACGAGGGGTTATCAAATAGCAGCATGATTACTTCATCCCTCGATGGCTAAACACCCGTTAGTTATTACTAATAACTTATTAGCACTAATATAGTTCACACCTCTTTTGGAAATCACCAAGCAAGAAGTTGTCTCCTTTAAAGTCCTTAAAGCACAATATATAACAGAGATATTAAAAAGTGATTGCGATTATTAGTCCAGTATAGTATAGTTTATGGTAAAAAAAGTGCTTTTGTGCTTATAGTGAACCGCAATACTGACAACTTGTGAGGGGAAAAAACATTTGTGTCGACTGTAATACACGTGCATTTCATTTGGATGACAATTATCTGATCTCTTCAATACTGAAGTGCGAGTTTAGGACTAAAGTCTCTTATGGTATGCTTTGGTGTGTATTGTGTTATCAGTGAAACTGTTTGTGCGATTCTCTGAACGAATTCTTGTGCATATAATACACTGTTTCCGATAATCAGTAACTTATAAATAGAGAGTCTCTCACTATTTCTCAGTTATTAATTTGCCAGACATTTGACTCTTTGACTGACTGTTCATTAGTCTTCAAATTGAAATATAACTATAATTTTGTCATTCACTTCATTAAATTGAACGGAAAATTTGCTAAATCATCAAATATTTCCATAAAAGTTTAATAACTTAAAAGTTAACGTTTAAAAAATCGTTCATTTTTTGTAACTTTGTTTAAATCGCAAACCGAAGAAAAAGTAACGCAAAAATGGTTTTGTATTCAAACACACGCGTCGAGCAAAACCACAAATTCAAGGGAGTCCTCGAACTGATCCCAAATCGCAATAATCCCATCAATTTTGTCAATAAAGTGGAGAAGGTTTTGGTGATGGTCTACAAGACGACAGCCAATCATTTCGCGGTGATATACCCGCAGTGGGGACTCGACTGTTCGCGGACTCCCATCTGTAAAATCAATCTCTTGTCGACAAAAGTGGAGAAAAGCGCCGACAGTCCGGACCGACAGTTCTGTATCGCTTCGACCCGAGAGTGCCTTTCCTTCACATTTCGCATATCAGACAAAAGCAAAGAGAACT